TAATTTTATGACAATGAAGGCTGGTGTTGGGATCCTATATTTCTTAGAATTTCGGCAATGAAGGCCGATGATGGGAACCTATATTCTTCATATTTCTGGCAATGAAGCCTAGTTGCTGCTCTCCGCTTCCTTCGATTTAAGGCTCTGATACCTTGTTTAATTCAAAGATTTGGAGAAGAAGAAAACTTAATTTTATTACACAAAACTATCCTTATTTATAGATCTATACAAGACATCTTAATAACGAAATAAATAATTAGAGAATAATGCATAATTGTACTAATATAATCCTTCCTAAATGAGTCACCCAAATAGGAAGAAGATCAGCGTGATCCAGATGAGCCTCCCACAGATCTCCATGCTAGCCATGGGATCAAGGGCTATGGGGCAGTTGAGATTTAACAGTGTGATCTAGGTGAGCCTCCCATAGATTATCATGCTGGCTGTGGGATTAAGGGCTAAGGGACGATTGAGATTTTAACACCATCTTCTTCAGATGAAGGACAAATGAGTTCAGCAGTCGACTGATGTCCTGGGAAGTCGCCATTTCCCGATCTTTCATCATTTTCTCAGGCAATTTCCAAGGCGTTCGCCTTAAGCTTGGGGGTGTAGTAAAGTTCCAATTCAACAATAGATTGGATGTTTTTGGAGATCGAGGGCACTTGCATTTGTTCCAAATAGATTGTCTTTGCTTGTGGAGGATTAATGCATCTGCCTGATGCTGAATTGTTGTTGACTACAAGAGTGTCACAACATTCATTGTCTCGTGCTGGTTATCACCCAATATTGGCTTGCTAGTGGATTGATATTAATTGAAAGGGTGTCGTAGCATTCGTTGCATGCTGCTTGTATATTTATGCAGGGAGTATTATCATTTATAGGGGTTTGATGTAGTTATTTGCGAATGCGTGCAAGCTGCATTTGTTCCAAATTCCTCAAATTCCTGTTGGTTAGCAATTCATTGCATGTTGACCTCCATTGCTTGCAGGATTTACTGTGTTTGTTTGTGCGTTGATATTGATTGCAAGGTGTTGTTGCATTCATTGCATGTTCACTGTCATTACTTGCGGGTAGATTCATGAGTTTGCTTGCAATTAAGTATTGTTGACTGTATGTGGACTGCATTCATTTAGAGTTCCTCATACATATCTTAGTTGGTAAATCCTCTCATCCAATACACATCTACCCCTCTTGTTTGCAGGGGATTTATATATTTGCTTACATGTTTAATTATTGGTGATGGTGGGAAAGTTACTATAATCTAATTACGTGTTCATATTGATCATCACTTGTGGGTAAGATGTTGGAATTTTCGTTGTCCACTACAAGTCATTGTTTATTAATTTGTAAATTATAGGTTTTGTTTTAGATATTAGGTTCAGTTCCCTATAGGCATGATTACAAGTTCGGTTTCTTGTAGTTCATTTAAGTCATGTTCCCTGCATTTTGTTAAAGTATTATTTCCTGTATCTATTGGCAAAACTACAGTCAATTTTGGTGACTTGGACATTCCAGATGGAATGACGAAGTCCGTTTTAAGATCGGACGTCGTCTGGGCAGCGTCATACATCTATTTCAGGTGCCAGTCTCCGATTTTGGCCGTTTTTTGCTCGATTCGACCGCGAGGGGTCTTCTCTTAGGTGAATTTGATGTTCAGATCGCAACGACGCAGTTTATTTGGTGATTAGAGGTCGTTTAAGCACTTTAGTAACGCGTCGTGCTGCTTGATCGTGTTTAAGCACTTTAGTAACAAGTTGTGCTGCTTGACTGTCGCTTACTTCGACTTCATTCGCACTGATTTGACGAATATGTGGAGGTCAACAGATTTCCATCAGTCATCCAAGTTTTAATGTAGAATCTCGTTAAATTCTACTTGTTTTTAGAAGAAGCACGCAACAAGTGCAAGCAAATGATCAGCCTCCAAATTGGTTCAATAGTAGAGTGTCAGACAGATTGAAATGAAAGAGGTGCCTTGCAAAAACTAAAGAAGTATTTATTCTCCACTGCAGGAACTTTCCTCTTTGCAGAGCCATACTAAATATTCACGAGCATTACCTTAGTAAATTATAGCAAGAGGAAGTGAGGGCGGCAGATTGTTAGAAGGAAGAAGCAAAACAAAATTGGCATCCCATCAGTATCTGAAGTTTGGCTGAAGGGATGAATGGTAGCTATGAAGCGCATCTTGAATGCAGCGCTACCAAGGAAGCATAGAGACCACCTTTATTGATCATCATATCATGAGTTCCTTTTTCAGCTATCACCCCACCCTTTATAACACATATTAAATCTGCATTTTTTATAGTAGAAAGCCTGTGGGCAATGACCACTGTGGTACGGTTCACTTTCACTTGGTTCAATGCTTCTTGAACGACCAACTCAGATTCTGCGTCCAATGCACTTGTTGCTTCGTCAAGTAGCAATATTTTTGGTTCTTTCACAATGGAACGCGCAATTGCTATTCTTTGCTTCTGCCCTCCAGACAGCTGACAACCTCTTTCACCGACAATTGTGTCATATCCCTGGATCAATTTGCATTTTCAGAAATATGTGAGAACTTAAATTTTTATAGTAATTAAGATATATAAGATGGTGTGAATGATATAATTACTTGACGGAGGGCGCATATAAACTTGTGGGAATTGGCTAACTCAGATGCTGCTACTATCTCTGTCTCAGTTGCCTTTCCCTCTTTTCCATAAGCAATATTAGCTCGAATCGTGTCATTGAACAACGATGGTTCCTGGCTTACTAAGCCCATCTGTTGTCGCAACCACTTCAGCTGAAATTTATTGATGTTGATTCCATCTAACAATATCTGTCCAGAATCAGGATCGTAAAACCTCTGCATCAATGATATTATTGTTGATTTTCCACATCCACTCTCACCAACAAGTGCAATTGTCTGAAACATACGATAAAAAATTTAATATTAACAACTTAGTAGATTTGGCATGCGTAATCAGACTGTAACAATTTCCTTTTCTCAGAAAATTTAATTATCAATTTTGCACATTATTACCTTTCCAGGTTTAACAGACAAGCAGAAGTTCTGAAGAATTTGGACTTCTTTCCTTGCGGGGTAACTAAACTTGACCTGTTGGAACTCTATGTTGCCTCTGAGCTCCTCCAGTTTAATCCCCGAATCATCACTTGCATCTATCTTAGATTTGCGGTCTAGAATTTCTAACACAGAAGCTGCAGCACCTCTGGCTTTGTTAGAATCTGGTGCTACAGAGCTTGAATGAGAGACTCCAATTGCCGCCATTGCTAGTGCAAAGAAAACCTATAAATAGTAAAAAGGATACAAATTAGGCATTTGATTTATTTATTCATTAATTTCACCTACCACATACATGTGATTGCAAACTTACTCGAAAAACTTTCCCAAATGTTGTCTTCCCATCCTGAACAAGCCTTGCTCCAGCGTAGAAACTGGCTGCATATACACAGAATAGTAGAAAAAAAGAGAGCCCAATACCAGTTCCGTTAATGACCGCCTGCCTAATTCCGGTCTTTTTTTGGCTTCCGCTTTTCTCCTTGTATAGTTTCATGACCTTCCCTTCAGCTGTGAATGAGACGACTGTTCTTATATTTCCCACAGCATCACTTGCAACTTGGCTTGCTTTCTCATATATAATCTGCAATCAACATTTACCTCTTAGATCTCGGAACAACATTTATGTCTCTATGTAAGATCATGTTTTTTTAATATTAAAAAAATGGGATGATATGAGGAAGAAAATAATAATATAATATATTTGAAATGTTGATGAATAATGTTGAATAAAAACTCAACTTGTTAAGTTGTGGAGCCTAATTATTGTTTTATCAAGAATAAATGTTTTACACATTCGATATACGGATCCAATATTTAAGAGTTGTTTCATTTAAGGGTGTTATGGGGATTTCACTTTAATTTTCCTTTTTTTCATAGATTTTTTTATTTTAAAAGGGACACTTTCACTTGATTTGATATTTGAGACATTAGGATTTTAATTTTTTTGTAAAATTCCACCATCATTATTATTGTGAAATATACAGTTATGGCAATGGGACTTAGCCATTAATTAGATGAACTTTGTATAAAATTCTTAGTGTTTGTGTGTGTGTTTAGTTTATTTGTTTTTGGTGAATTAATTTAGGTCTTCCCTAATTATCAACACAACTCTCAGGGGAGCCATTAATTATATATGTTATTTCTAAAACCTTTAGCTAATGAGTTGCAATGTGTAAATGTGGTCGAACCTTTGCATCTGCAGTAAATCCCTTCATGAACACGATCTGAGCCCATGAATTTAGGCCAATTAAAGGAATCAAACCCAGGATTATGAATGAAAGCTGCCAATTTGCAACAAAAGCAATTGCTAAACCAATGGACAAAGTTGCTGTGTTCTGAACCAATAATGCCAGATTGTCACCCACAAGACTTCTGAATGCAGCAGCATCTACTGATAGTCTAGCTTCAATTGCTCCACTGGAGTTGTCAGGATCATCAAACCATTCCATCTCCATATTAACAACCTTCTCAAATGTCATTATCCTGATTCTTCTGATCAATCGAGACCCGGCAACAGCAAAAAAGTATGATCTTGCAGGCATTGCTAACATAGACAGTATACCAAGAACTATGAACATAATTGCATAAAGCCTGGAATCCTTCTTTAATTTATTTGGAGGCTGGTAAAATGTTTCAATCATATCGGATAAGAGAACACCAAAGATGGGCAGAATTATCCCATTAAAGATAGCAGCAATTACTCCAAGTATGAAGATTGGGAGCTCTGGCTTGTTAAGATAAGCAAGTCGCAGTAAAGGTAGTTCTTGTGATTTATGGTGGGATGATGGTGATACCTCATGAGTATCCGATTCAATTGAGTTATCTTGAATTTCAAGTCCTAAAGGCAAAACAAATGGCACTGAGAAGGAATGGCGGGGACCCACAGATCTTCCTCTGCTGATGGAACGAGGGAAATTATTCCTCTGACTACCTTGTCTGCCAGATTCTGCTAAGCTAAGGACTCTATCCTGGTCTGTTTGATTTTTATGCACTGCATCTTGCTTCATTTCCTGCAAGTGTATAAGTTGTGAATATGCCCCCCCTTTGCTCTTTAGCAGCTCTCTGTGAGAACCTGATCATTGTTATAGTAATAGAAAAACAGTTACTAAATGCTATATTTTACCTTGGGTTGTGTATTAAAAATTCATTTGTTATTTGAATGTACCTTTTTGAACAATTGAACCTTTCTGTAATACAACTATGGTATCTGAGTTCCTAACTGTACTCATACGGTGGGCAACAATGACAGTTGTGCGAGTTTGCATAACCTTCTCAAGTGATTTCTGTACCAATTGCTCGGACTCAGCATCTAGTGAACTTGTAGCTTCATCAAGAAGCAGAATTCGTGGATCTTTCAAAATAGCTCTTGCAATAGCCACTCTCTGTTTCTGCCCTCCTGATAGCTGAGTTCCATACTCTCCAACCATTGTGTCAATTCCCTGTTTGCATAAAATGCCTTTTGCTCAGCAAAGCCAAGTTTTTTATTTTTAATCTTCCCTTGCTTTATTCTATTCAACTAATAATAATAATAAAAAAAATAGACACCTGAGGCATTTTGTCTATGAAGCTTGATGCATTTGCTAGTTCGGCTGCAGATTTTATCTCTTCAATGGTCGCACCTTCCTTTCCATATGCTATGTTGTCTCTAATACTACAAGTAAAGAGGACAGGCTCTTGGCTGACAAGGCTTATCTTACCTCTTATCCATCTCAGTTGGAGCTCTTTGAGATTGATATTATCTATAAGTACGTGACCATCTTGTGGATCATAAAACCTTTCTATCAAACTAATCACTGTTGATTTTCCACTGCCACTTTCTCCAACTAAAGCAACCGTGGTGCCACTTTTTATGACAAGTGAGAAATCCTTAAATATCTGTTCTCTTGGTCTTGCTGGATAACTGAAGCAGACATTTTGAAATTCAATGTTTCCATGGATGTCTTCAAGGGTCTTTCCTTCAGTGTTTTCAGCATCTATTTCTGGTTTTCTATTAATTGTCTCAAATATTTTGAATGCTGCAGCCTGTCCTGCTACGAAAGAACTGAGGCATGGAGACGCCTGCCCTAAAGATCTGAACACATTTGGAGATATGAGTTAATCCGTGGAGGCCAAATTCTACTGAACAAGATATATACAATATTAAAAAAAATGTGATTTTATGGATAAATACTTAATTATCATAATTTGACATCTTAGGATCTTCAGCAGGAATAAATTAAGGAAAAATGATCAAAATGATCGCTTGACTCTTTATGAAGGATCACATTTATCTCCAATTATATTAAATGATCATTTTGGTCTCTCGAGTTTTTAAAAAGGAACCAAAATAGTCCCATGGTGGGAGTATTTTAGTTCCTCTTTAAGGATTTGAAGGACTAAAATAGTTTTTTAACTTAGATGGGGACCATTTTGGTCTTTCATAAAGAGTCAATGGATCATTTTGATTCTTTTCTCAATAAATTAATTTTAATTATAATGTGTATTTATGCATAATTTAAGCTGAAATTGAGTTAAATTGAACTAACTTTGAGTGAACCATCCTCCAATCGAAGCAAAGTGATTTCAGTTTTGAATTTATTAAAATTCAAGTGCATTTTGAGTTTCAAACATAATTACCAGCTCTATCTCGAGAATATAAAGTTGGAAGCTTAGATCAAAGAGAGATGATCTGAAATTTTATTGATTTTATTTTGACTTTCTCTTATGTAAGTTATATTTTGTAATATAAGTATTATTGTTCTTGTGATCTTTTGTACTATTTCTAATCTTGTGCACAAAATGATGTTTATTTGTGCTTCATTTGTTTTGTAAGCAAATGTTAGGAAAAATGATGTGCTTCTGAGTAATGACATACATGAGAAGGGGCAAAATACTTAGCAAAAAAAAAGCATTGAATAAAATAGGAGATAGAAGAAGATTCATGTGATTCAATGAAGTTAACCTACATCCACAACTGCATAGACAGATGTTTGGTCCACTAGATAAAAAATAAATAAAGGATACAAAATATTTGCTCACATAAGTATTTTTTCATTTTTTATTTCACTAGTAGTTTCCCCTCTCTTATTCTCTATACAAATCATAGTACTATTTCTCCACTAGATATACTCATCAGAGATAGAAGAAAACATGCCACATTGTATGTTGGATCACCTCACTTATGACATCTTAATTTTGAGAGAGCGATTCGAAGAGGACAGAATAATCATTGGAGTTGAGTTTCAAACTAGGAGCTGCTCCTAATAGCCCTCTAGAATGAAAAGCGTCTCAGAGAAAAAGGAGAAAAAAAGAATTAAATCCTATATTAGGAAAGAACGAAAATATATTGGGCTATATAAGTGAAAGGGTTAGGCCAAATATATTAGGCACCTTCTAGTGCAATGTTTGGATTGTCATTGGAAACTTTAGTTGATAATTCATCTGATGGGCGACCTAGTGAGAAGTTATACAAAGGGGACAATATCATTAATCCCTATCCCTTGCAATAGTTGCCAATCTCTTATAGTGAAGGCCTTCAGCTTCCAACTCACATTTAGGCCTATAGTGCTCGTTGACCGCCAAACAGAAATATTAATGTATGACATTAATCAAGGAAACTACCAACCTTCGACCACTATATCGACCAACTCTCCCGCCTCCACCTTCACTCATATTTGAATGAAGGGAAAGAATGAGTGTACACATCAAATCATGCAACCACTTGCTTATATTATTGCTTAGAGATGGTAGGTAACAATCTTGTAGAATTTACATGACATTACGAGGGATGTAACACAGTTTTAGGGAATGCATGTGTGGGCTCGCCCTGGCCTCCCCTCGCCTCCCCTCTTTCGAGGGAGTTTTAATAGATTAAGTTCAGGCATAAATTTTCATAACATATATTGGGTTTGTAGATAAGACACTACCAAGAGATTTCACCCTTATTTTGCGAGGACTTTATGATCTGAGTTCTGGTTTCCTATAGGCACAAGCCTCTATAGTTAATTTCCCCTCGTGATAATGAGAGTGAACTTTCGATTAAGGCTAGTCATCGATCAGATATGTAAAGAATACGTGATATCTGGTGTATAGTAGCAGCATGAGTTTGAGTGTTTGAGAATTTGATATTTAAAATTGAAAATTTCACCATCTTGCACTTAAAGCGGATGATGGGGAATGGATGATGGACCTTATCAAGATCCCATGGTTCCGTTCCCGGACCATCGTGGCCCCTGGTCTACTTAGTCAGAAGAGGTATTCGACCCAACCTGACAAAAGGATCCTTGTCGGTAACCATGAGTTGCGTCGTCCAAGGGTATCTTGTAAACTTGAGGTGGATATTTATTTAGGAGACAAATTTAAACATATCTTAGCTAACAGAGGGCTTTGTGCCCCATTGATTATATCTTATTAATTTATATCTCAAGAATTTAGTGCCATTGGGGAGCTTATGAGCTCTAGCCTTGACCTTAATTTAGTGGTGTCGTTTGACGACAAACCACCCGGTTCATAGGACCCCGATCATAACCGTTTACCTGCAGTGCCATTTGACGATAAAATCGTCGGTTAGAGGGCACGTGCCACGTCCCCGCTGGCAAGAGACTGTTTGAGAATGAATCATAGTGATATTCTCGACAAGACATTAGCTTTTTGTGAGCTGAAGTAGTTTTTAAATTTATTCACTTCAGCAAACTATTGCGGAGGGTGGATGAGTTTTGTTTTAAGTGTTTTGATGGTTAATTTTAATTTTAAAAATTTTGAATTTTGGGATTTTGGGTTTTCAATTTTGTGGGTATTTGGGTGACATTTGAATATTTGGAATTAACCCATTCGATTGAGATCTACATTCAACACGCCGCATCATCGAGGTCCTTATGGACGGTTTTCATTTATGGATTGAACCTTGTCGACCCTGCCTACTTACTGAGAAAGGATGAATTTCTTCGTTGGCTTTAGGCCTTTATTAGTGATTTTTTTTCGTTGTAGACTTTGAAGGCCTCATATGAACATATAAAACAAATATCTCAGTCCACGCCATGATCATATATATTTTTGATAGTTCGAGCCGTGTTGACTCCTATCTACTCGTATAGAAGATTCGGGTTCGAACTTAAATTTATCATTTGATCCTTGCAACATCCTCAGACGTCATGTGTGTACCTATAACACGCTTGCCGAGGCCCATGTGAGTATTTAGGATGTATTTTTTGTAATTATCTATGTGTACATGTTGTAATGTATGTGTGCGGGTGTTTTTGGAATATTTGACACTGCTCAGTCATGCAGACGACCGCCTTTTAAACTTGTGACGCTTTATTTGAAAGCTTGTAGACGCCTTCTATCCACTTACTTGAGTGTCGCGGATCCAGTGGCGTGGCGTTGGGCATTATTTAGGAATTTGTAAACGACTTTTGTTCGCTTGCATAGATATTGCGAATTCGGTGGCGTGGCGTCGAGTCACAATTATTAACCCATTGCTTTATACAATTGGATATTCACATTCATCACAAGCTTTTGTGCTTTTTCCTGTAAATAATGTATTGCGCTAGCTGTAAATCTTTCTCATTCATGTTTGCAAGAGAATTCATCTTACTTTCCATATGCCCCATATCATTGCTCGTAAGAAAAATTGTTGTAGGCATTGCAAATTTTCTATTGTTATCCATGGGCGAGCTTCATTGCATGCAATTCTTCTAATACCACTCGTGTATATATATATATAAGTCACCACATTTTTCGGGTCTTCTGTAGCGACCTGTACGCGTCTGTATTTTATGCATATTTGTCGAACATTGCATGGTGGTTAGTCGTAAGGAGACTATCGCATCCATTGCCCTTTGATACATAATTTGCAGGTGTTCGTACATATTGTAAACATACTTGATTACTTGCAGGCGGTGTATCGTATGCATGATGGGTCCCTTACAAATGACATTGTAAGTCTTTGTATGCACTGCAAATGTCTTATTTCTGCTTGTAGATGATACATCATGTGTACCCGTGTTCAAAGAGGACCCATCACATTTAGTATAGCATCTTCCAACATCTGTTGAGAACAATACTATTGCATATGCTTTGAATTTTCTGTCGCTGCTTGCGAGTGCCTATACTTATTGCAATTTGCTTCTTTAGGCTTATGAACGATGCCTTGCATGCATTAGTTATATGTCTTCTATGAGCACATCACGAAATCCACTGCCATCATCTTGCCTCTCACTATTGTCTGCAAGCAGGTTGTTACGCTCTCTATAATCTTCGTTGATTATCGCTTGTAAACAAGTCATGTTGAATATTACGACGGGTTTCCAGCGGTAGCATGTAGATATTTGTGTTTTGTTACGTATTATCTGCTTCTGCATGTAGGGGATTGTTATATTTGACTGACATTGATTGTTTGCTGATCGTAAGGACAAGTCAACATCCATTGCATGTTATTTGTTGTCACTTGCAGGTGGACTACTGTGTGGATGGTAAGTCTTCTGTATGTATTTTTAGGTACCTATACACATTGTAGATTTTTTGTCTTTACTTGAAAATGTTACCTCACATGAACATTCATATGCACTAGAGATTCATCATATATGCAATATATCCCCTGTCATCACTTGCATACAAGTCAATGTGCTCTTCTATGATTTTCCATTGACTACTGATTGATTTACACTCATTGCTAGCGCCTTCATGCATATCAGCTAACGAATCATCTCATTCATCGTATGCCAACTATCCCAGTTCTCAGGTGCTGATGTCTGCTGCTATTCTTTCGTATCTACTGGCAGATGACGCATCATATATGCATCTATATTCACGGGAGTCTATTATGCTTGCAACACATCTATTATTGTTGTTTGTATACATACTGCATCATCCATCGTTATTTGTAAGCGTTGCATGCATTCATTGCAAGCCTTCTTGTTTCTGCTATATCTATTGATAGTCACTTGCAGGCGAACCAATACGACAACTCGTGAATTGATGTTAACTACCAAAGAATTGCGTTCACTGCACTCGTCCTTTCATTAGCATTTGTGAGGAGCTTTTCACATTCATCGTGTGTCAATCATCATTGCTTGCGAGTTAATATTGACTGTAGGCGAATTATGTTCACCGCAATATCTTGTTATTCATATCCACAAGATATCCGTCGCATCGATCGTATGCCACATGCTATCACCTATAGAAAGGTTATGGGTTGGCAAACATTGACTATGAGCAGGTTATAGTGTACATGAACATTGCAAGCTTTCCATCGTTCATCTGCAAGTTAAGGGTTTTGCAACTTCACTTGCAATCAAGTTACATATTCATGTTAATTATTGCTTGTGGGTGAGATGTAAGAATTTTTCTCTAGCCCACCACAAATCATTACTTTTTCACTTATATCCACTTAAATGATCAAGATTCGTTTATTGAGCATTTAGATTTTGATTGTTCATTTGTTAAACCAAAGTTTGGTTCCATGTGTTTCATTCAAGTTCAAGTTCCTTGTTAATTGTTTAAATTATTCAAGTCATGTTTATCGTCAATTATTTAAGTTCAGGTCGTCGTCATTTATTCAGCATTAGGTCCTCAGTTTGTTGTGAATTTCGGCATCCTCCTATCGTCTCTCTCGTGTAGGGGAAATTTCAGGAGTTTGGGCCATCCCACCACGCTACGAGAGCATGTATCTTAGGTGTTTGGAGACACCGCGACCGTATTTTTTTACTACCATCACGCTACGAGAGCGTGTATGGGTCTTCGAGGTACTTGTCTGAAAACGAGTAATTGGTGTTTTGGTTTATACTGAGGTGCGTACGGGTACTTAAAAGTGTCCCCGCCATGATACGAGAGTGTGTATTGGGCCTACCCACCTCGCCGTAAGAGTCGTGTCGGGCTCCCTCCTACCTTGCTACAAGAGCACCTATAGGGGGTCCTCCTGCTCGCCGCAAATGTCGATAGTGGGATTTTTGAGTTTAGGGAATTATATCTGCGCGTGTGGTGGTCGATGGAGGTGACAACGATAAAAAAATGCACAAAAAACTTCTTCCCTCTTTTTTATTTATAACTTTTTTTTTATTCTCTCATTCTCTTTTTTCTTTTTTCTATTTAGATATGCGCGCGCATGCACACATCACATATATGTATTCTAATAATGATAATAGCATAACAAAAATATTGATAATAAACGTTATCAATATCAAAAATAAATCTAAGAAAGCAAGAGAGTGATTACCTTAGTGGATGGGGTTTGGGTGGATTTGGAGTTGGGTATGTAGGCTTTGGAATATTTGGGTTAGTTGTAAGAGAAAATGCTAAGTGAATGTTTGGAAGAAATGAAGGAAGGAGGATTTCTTGGTGGGCTGGGCCTTGAGAAGCTGTTGGGTTTTAGGAAGTGAGGGAATGAGGCCTTGAAGTGGGCTATTCGGTGGAATGAGTGCTGTAGATAGGAGCAGTGATTCGATCATTCACATTTTCAAATTGAATTTACATTCAGTGTAATCCCTTGCATGTTCACCATGGAAGAAATAAAGTTACAGCATCCATGTAAAAGCTGCAAAAAGTTGTGAATGGCGGGCAAACTTACAGTGAGCTGGTAAGAACCGCAAAGATGACATTGAATACATCACCACCTGTGTACCCTTTCTCAAGTATCAATTTAGACCCGTACCACATCCCAAGAGCATATCCACAAAAGAAGAGTAGCATAGCAGTACCAAGCCCTATTCCTGCAACAAGTCCCTCTTTAACACTTGAACTGTATGATTGTTTTAGGGATTGACAGTATTTCTCCACAGCCTGTTTCTCACCAGTAAAAGATGCAACCTGTTTGGTTTGAAAGTTCATTAGATTTGATTCTTCATGAAATTAAATAATTCTGGTGGTATGGATTATAATTGTGCTCACTGTTCTAATAGTGCTAATTGTTTGTTCTACGAGATCCGCTGCTGCTGCATAAGCTGTCTGTCCTTGTGATGCCATCTTTGCTATAACTTTAGAGATGATTGCACCAGCGAATACAAGAGGAGGAATGGTGGACAACATAGCAAGAGTCAGAAGCCAACCTTGGACAAATGCTATTGTAAAACCTCCAAAGAATGTTGATATTAGCTGAATGAACTGACCAACCTGTGAAAATTTTTACATAAAGTTTAGATTTATTTTCTTAAAGTTTAGATTTATTTTATCAATCTTTTTTCCTTGTATACCTTTTCACCCATGGCATCTTGAGTGATGATTGAATCACCAGACATCCTCCCAACAATTTCTCCAGTGTTAATTTCTCTGTCAAAGAATGCAATCTCTTGCCTTAAAATAGCCTTCAGGTATAAGTTCCTCAGTCTTTCTGCTTGTCTCTCACCTGTATTCATCCAACAGGAAGCCTCTGCAAAGGAAATTGTTCCAAGTTTTTAGTTTCCAGCCTTCCTAATCTTTTTTAGTTGATGATAAATCTGTTGATGGTAGAAACTACAATTACGGACTTACGGAGGAAAGAAGCTATGCCTGCACCAACTGCCAAATAGATGAATTTGAGAGCTTCCTGAAGAAATAAAAAGGTATTTTTATGAGTATTCTTGCACCAAGAAGTAACAGTATAACCCTTTTTATGCCACTCAATGTAATTCATATATTATATTTTTTTTTATCAATTATGATTCCACTTTTCAGTAATGTAATTCGCATATCATAATCATAAATATTGCGAAGATAAAAAAGCACTAAAAACATCAAATTTAACTATTCCATGAGTTGTATAAAATACCTTGGAGACTTGATGTAACACGTTTTGAATGTCTACAGTTCTTCCAAAAGAATTGATCAAGTTTCCAAAGAAAAGTGTAGTCAGTGGAAGTACGAGTCCATTCGCCACAGCACCAGCTGTACCTATTATCATTAAAGCAATATCCATGGAGTCTGCATATGAAAACAACTTATAAAATGGAACCATGCTGTTTCCTTGATGGTTTTGTTCACACTTGTTGTCATCTTTGTGATCTTCCATAATCTCAATCTTCTTTTCTTCTTTAAACATAACTTCGCTTGTGCTGGCCATCGTATATTTTTTGACCCTTTAAGATTTCAATTCATCATCCTTTGCTAGCTGAATCAAAGCAAGGCTATATTATTATCCTTTTCCTCTTTGAAGTCCTTATCTTGCTATTGTACGTTATTGCTGCTTTCTCAATAGTTTCTTCTGACACTCGTCTGTATATGAATTTCCTTCATGGTAATAAAAACTCTGAATTGCATGCATGAGAATCAGAAGCAGTTTAGAAGATAACGAATCAACCTATAATATTACTTTTGTCTTAATTAAAAGCTAAATGAAAAATGAAGCAGCAGAGAATAATGATATACAAGAGAATCATAAAAACACCTTTTCGGCTACAGTAGTTGAAAAGCAGCAGATTGCATTATAGAACTACTTGTCACTATATAAGGGAAAAATGAAAAAAAAAATGAGAATATACGTACCTTTTTTATCCCCTAAATGTGGGTCAGACCAGAAGATAACACTCCTTTCTGCAGTCGAAGCTTCACGTTTCCATTACAAGAGAAGCAGTACCGAACATCAGAAAAGCCAAACACCGAGACATATAAATATAATATATATATACATAAAATGAAATAAGAGAAAAAGACCTTACTTATTGTCTTCGATGCCGTAACATAGATTATTTAAAATAAAATGGTTGGAAGGTCCAGCCAGAAACCTCAACTTCTCTCTCTTTTTGTATTCTTTTGGGTGATGCGATTCTCTCTGCCGTCTTCAAGTTCTAACAAAAAAATGGAAGATAAAAATAAGAAAAGAAAGGTTCTTTGCAGTCGGAATATTTAGCATGAGGAAACAAAAAAACAAAAATCGGATCAGGATATGTTGTTTGATTAGTATAACATATAAATTAGAAATTTAAATTTATGTTATTACATATTTCAAAATAAATATAAAATTTAATGTTTTCCAAATGGAATTCTCTGTGGAGCATAAGAAGCTTCATAGCTGCCGCTTCCCAAGTACTTTTTTATTCAGCCGTAGCGGCAAGCCTTACGCCAGCTTAAAATGACACCTTTTTGTCGTCCGAGAAAAAAATAATTTGAACAGTTTTGTATGTAATGGAGTTGGCATCTTCCACTTGCAATACTGTAAGCATCCACTGTACATTTGGAGTCATCACCCTGAACAATTTTATTTGTCGTTATCAAAGCTCTTATTTTGCTCTATTTGCCAGTACAGGCGAATGGACGACCTGTTCAGTTGGACCTTTTCATTGTGTTTGGAGGATAAATGGTTTTTCATCACTCGAGCATCGATCTCCGAGAGGACCTATGGTGAGCATTACGGCGACTTTCATGGATAATGAAGAGACATTCATCACTCGAGCATGTCGGCATTAGGGCAAATTATTGGGTCAGGTGACCGAAGCCATCTTTGCGTTCGGTCGTCAATAGAAATGCGACATCTGTTAGGACTTTTTTTAATATAATATGTTTGCTTTATATCTTGTCAGAGTTAGCGACCCGACCCGATAACGCATTTCATTTGAATTCCGGAAAATAAAGAATGGAAACGCTACGTATTTTATTTTCAAGCGACATTTTCACTGTTACTCCAGCTCTGGTAAGCGCTCTCGGATTCCTCCAATACCTTCGGTTCTGCATTAGCTTATTCCCGCCGGAGGTAGACGACGAGATTGTAGAAGATCATCAATCAGGAAGAGGTATGGTTGCGCCTAACTTGCGCTTTCGTTGCGCTAATATGTTAAATTTTAGGGTTTGGTTTAGTTATAATTTTATCATTGTTTGTTTAATTTAATGTATTGTTCAAATGTTTATTTTCTGATTTTTCACGCTTCTTCTCTTCGTAAATGGATGAAGCAAATGGTACGAAAGGTTTACGCTTTCTGCTAAATTTTAAGGTTTAGTAATAGTTGTATAACTAGCATATATGTTAAATGTTGTGTTCAATTTTTATTTTTTTTTCCTGAATTTAAACCTTCTTTTAAGCTAAATAATTACGAAATGTATTGTTGCGCTAAGGTTGCGCTATGGTTGCGCTTTAGTTATGGTTGCGATATAGTTCTGATTTTTTTGTTGTTATAGATGAGGACGCCGTATCAAAGGCCAGTAACATCTAGATGTTATGTTACTTCTTTTCGGAAATATTGTGATGCTTTTGTCGAGATCATTAATGATGAAGTGGAGCAAACATTAAAAAATCTGAACATTCATCAATTTTTGAAGTTCCCTGCGTTCCAGCAGTGTATACCACTTCTTTTTGAGGTTCTCAAATTTTGGAGTCCTGCTGATGAAGCCTTCATCGTCCTTGGTCATGTACTGAAATTCACTTCTAACGAGGTTGCTTTGTTGATAGGTAATATTTTGAATATGGAATTTTTTATAGCTATATGTTTTTTTAACTTTAACAACTGAAATTTTCTGACAGGTTTGCCAAATAGAGGGATTGATATCAAATGGAGGATTGATCCTCTAAATGGACCTCTGACAACTGAAATTAAAATAGAAATGTCAAAATTAGACAGATTATCTGATAATGCTACAAAAATAAAGACCTTATTATGTTTTTGTTATCTAACCTTTTCTTTCCACTAAACAATCATAAAACCCCTAGAAGGCTCACATTTGTTGCAAATAATTTAAGTGAGTTCACTTCCATTAATTGAGCTTCATGCTTAAGGAACTTCATGGTTG